AATCTTCGCTCTAGTAGTAGTACTAGTAGGCCACCTACCTACTAATAGTTGCGCAACTGTACGCGATGACTATGCTCGTTGATATAAGTGCTCTGCTTTGACTGAAGAAAACCTTCAAAACAAGAGAACAAACGCCATTTGTAAATGTTTGTTTTGGTTCATGACCGCTAGATAAGTAAGTTTTCTGATGTATTTTCCATGAAAAACACCTATTTTACTAATTAATATAACATATAATATTACTATAACTGCAATTCTTTGTGCAAATGTGTTATTTTCATCTCGATCTTAAGTTATGAGAGGGTTTGGGCTCTCGTAATACTACATACGTACGTATACACGCACTCGTACAATAGCCCTTCACTTCGTCGCAGGAGGAAGGAGCGAAGGTCTTAGGCTTAGCATCTATGGGCTTAGATACAAATATCTCGAAAAATGGTCTAAATATGTTTCCGGAAATTCTCCAAAAAATCTCTAAATATCTCAAAAATTTTTCTAAATATTCCCAAAATTGTTCTAAATATCTCAGTTATTTCAACTTAATGTCTTTTAAACATATTTATTGTGTGCGAAATAATCATACGCTGTTTACCAATCTCCATTCGCTGGATTTCCCCGGAGCTCCGCCCACTTTAAAAATAGTGCACTAGCATTGTGGCAGTGGTATCCTGAGTGTACGAAGCCGAAGGGGGCACTGCATGCAGTTGCACCGCTGGATGGTTTTTCTTAACAGAAACGGACAAAGTCATCCTTACAAATCCTTAATATTTGAGAAAATTGTGTTTTATCTTCTAAATATTAAGAAGTTTTCTAAATATCCAGATTTTTTAAATATCCCGAAAACTTATAAATATCTCCAAAAATATCCGGATATTTGTATCTAAGCCTAGAAGGGCTAGAGTACTATAGTCCAGCGGCTAAGGCCGAAATAGTGGCAGAATATTTCACTTTTTGGAGAAATTATGAAACTTGGCACATACGTAGGGGACCCCAGTGGGGTCATTTTTCGATTGAGACCCAACTCTGA